AAGACCCCTACTTCTAAAAGTCCTGGTTGTAAGAGTCCTGGTTGCAAGAGTCCTGTTTGTAAGTCCCCTGGTTCTAAGAGTCCTGTTTGTAACACCCCTTTTTCTACGAGTCCTGCTTGTAAGACCCCTGCTTCCAAAAGTCCTGCTTCTAAGATTTCTGGTTGTAAGTCTCCTTGTTGTAAGAGTCCTGGATGTAAGACCCTTGGTTGTAAGAGTCCTGCTTGTAAGGGGGCTTGTTGTAAGACCTCTGGTTTTTAAGACCCCTGGTTCTAAGACGCTTGGTTGTAAGACCCCTGGTTGTAAGATCCTGGTCTTAAGACCCCTGGTTGTAACTGTCCTGGTTGTAAGACCCCTGTTTGTAAGAGTCCTTCTTGTAAGAGTCCTGGTTCTAGGACCCCTGGTTGTAAGAGGCTTGGTTGTAACAGTCCTGGTTGTAAGACCCCTGGTTGTAAGAGTCCTGTTTCTAAGACCCCTTGTTGTACGAATCCTGGTTGTAAGACCCCTGGTTCTAAGAGTCGTGGTTGTAAGAGTCCTGGTTGTAAGAGTCCTGGTTCTAAGACCCCTTGTTGTGAGAGTCCTGGTTGTAAGACCCCTGTTTGTAAGAGTCCTGGTTGTAAGACCCCCTGTTGTAAGAGTGCTGGTTGTAAAACCCCTGGGTGTAAGACCCCTGGTTCTAAGAGTCCTGTTTGTAACACCCCTTTTTCTACGAGTCCTGCTTGTAAGACCCCTGCTTCCAAAAGTCCTGCTTCTAAGATTTCTGGTTGTAAGTCTCCTTGTTGTAAGAGTCCTGGATGTAAGACCCTTGGTTGTAAGAGTCCTGCTTGTAAGGGGGCTTGTTGTAAGACCTCTGGTTTTTAAGACCCCTGGTTCTAAGACGCCTGGTTGTAAGACCCCTGCTTGTAAGATCCTGGTCTTAAGACCCCTGGTTGTAACTGTCCTGGTTGTAAGACCCCTGTTTGTAAGAGTCCTGGTTCTAGGACCCCTGCTTGTAAGAGTCCTGCTTGTAAGACCCCTGGTTGTAAGAGTCTTGGTTGTAACAGTCCTGGTTGTAAGACCCCTGGTTGTAAGAGTCCTGTTTCTAAGACCCCTTGTTGTACGAATCCTGGTTGTAAGACCCCTGGTTCTAAGAGTCGTGGCTGTAAGAGTCCTGGTTGTAAGACCCCTTGTTGTAAGAGTCCTGGTTGTAAGAGTCCTGGTTCTAAGACCCCTTGTTGTGAGAGTCCTGGTTGTAAGACCCCTGTTTGTAAGAGTCCTGGTTGTAAGACCCCCTGTTGTAAGAGTGCTGGTTGTAAAACCCCTGGTTGTAAGACCCCTGGTGGTAAGAGTCCTGGTTGTAGGACTCTTTTGTTGTAAGAGTCCTGGTGGTAAGAGACCTGGTTTTAAGACCCCTTGTTTTAAGAGTCCTGGTTGTAAGATCCCTGCTTGCAAGACCCCTTGTTGTAAGAATCCTGGTGGTAAGAGTCCTGGTTGTAAGACCCCTGGTTGTAAGAGTCCTCGTTGTAAGAGCCCTGGTTGTAAGAGTTCTGGTTTTAAGAGCCCTGGTTGTAAGAGTCCTGGTTGTAAGACCCCTAGTTGTAAGTGTCATGGTTTTAAGACCCCTTGTTTTAAGAGTCCTGGTTGTTAGACCCCTCTTTGAAGAGTCCTGGTACTAGGACCCCTGGCTGTAAGAGTCCTGGTTCTAATATCCCTGGTTGTAAGAGCCCTGGTTGTAAGACCCCTGGTTTTAAGAGTCTTGGTTGTAACAGTCTTGGTTGTAAGACCCCTGGTTGTAAGAGTCCTGGTTCTAAGACCCCTTGTTGTAAGAATCCTGGTTGTAAGGCCCCTGGTTCTAAGAGTCGTTTTCGTAAGAGTCCTGGTTCTAATACCCCTTCTTGTAAGAGTCCTTGTTGTAAGACCCCTGGTTGTAAGAGTCCTGGTTGTAGGACCCCTTGTTGTAAGAGTCCTGGTTGTAAGAGTCCTTGTTGTAAGTGTCCTGGTTGTAAGAGTCCTGGTTGTCAGACCCCTAGTTGTAAGAGTCCTGGTTGTAAGACCCCTTGTTTTAAGAGTCCTGGTTGTTAGACCCCTGGTTGAAGAGTTCTGGTTGTAAGACCCTTGGTTGTAAGAGTCCTCGTTTTAAGACCCCTGGTTTTAAGAGTCCTGGTTGTAAGGCCCCTGGTTGTAAGACCCCTAGTTGTAAGAGTCCTGGTTGTAAGACCCCTTGTTTTAAGAGGTTTGGTTGTTAGAGCCCTGGTTGAAGAGTCCTGGTTGTAAGACTCTTTGCTGTAAGAGGCCTCGCTTTAAGACCCCTGGTTGTAAGACTCCTGGTTGTAAGACCCCTGGGCCCAGTTGTTCGAAGGCCGATTAGCGCTTAACCCGGGGTAAAATTTAACCCGGGTTTCTCTTTCTTGTGTTTTTGGATAATTTTCTGTGTTATTTTTAGAGCTTCCAATCATCAAATTGTAGACAAAAAGAATTAAAATGGAAATGCTTTTTAAGCTTTCAAATCTGAATTCAAATCTCGCGCTAACCCTGGGTTATCTTAACCCAGCTTTGAACAACTCGGCCCTGGTTGTAAGACCCCTGATTCTAAGACCCCTGGTTGTAAGAGTCCTGGTTGTAAGATCCCTGATTCTAAGAGTCCTGGTTGTAAGACCCCTGGTTGTAAGAGTCCTGGTTGTAAGACCCCTAGTTGTAAGAGTCCTGGTTGTAAGACCCCTTGTTGTAAGAGTCCTGGTTGTAAGACCCGTGGTTGTAAGACCTATTTGTCTGAAGACAGAAAACGGTTGATTCAGCATAGGAGAAAATCAAAGGCAAGTTTTTTAAAAACATGATTTGTTTAAGCGCGGGCAGATGGCAATGTACATGAACACGTACTGATGACTCAACCGAAGGCAAGTGAAAATGTTTTCTGGTTTGATTATGTTATGTAAGAAACAGTAAACGTTGCAGCTGTGCAACCATGGAGTTGGAACATTAGAACATCTGATGGTGCAAATGTGGAACATCTGATGATTGAACAGTGGAACAGAGATGATGGTGAAACATTAGAACATCTGATGGTGGAACAGTGCACAATCATAGTGGAACAGTCGAAGATCTAATGGCGGAACAGTCAAACAGATTGTGGAACAGTAGAACATCTGATGGTGAAACAGAGGAACAGAGATGGTGGCACGGTGGAACAAAGATGGTGGAACAGTACAAAATCTAATGATAGAACAGTCGAACAGAGATGGTGGAACAGTGGACATCTAATGGTGAAACAGTAGAACATTTGATGGTGGAACATTAGAACATCTAACGGTGGAGCACTAGAACATCTAATCGTGGAAGAGTGGAACAGAGATGGTTGAAAAGTAGAACAGTGGAACAGTGGAACAGTGGAACATTTGATTGTGGAACAGTCACACATCTGATTGTCGAACAGTGGAACACAGACTGCGGAACAGTCTAACATCTCATCGTTAAACGGTAGAAATTCTTATGGTGGAAGAGTAGAACATCTGATGGTCGACCAGTGGAACAGAAATGGTGGAACAATGGAACATCTGATGGTGGAACAGTACAGCATCTAATAGTGGAACTGTGGAACAGACATAATGAAACAGTGGAACTGAGAAGGTGGACGGCGGGGCTAAAGTGCAGGTCACAGGTCAGGTCACAGGTGACACAAAAAACAATAGGACACTGGACAAAACTGTTCTGGACTGATGTTTTACTATACAAAAATAAAATAAGTCAAGGAACCTTGATGATATTTTTGTCCTTTAAACAATATTAAATGCCACACATGGAATGATGTTTTCATGCCGATCATACGGCATATCCAAACTTCGTAACGAAATCACAAAGGTGTGCAAAATCATGTGATTTGTACGAAAAACAAATCACATGTTTTTCACTGAAAACGAAGTGCTGTCGTGTTATTAGAATGTCATCTCCCAATAAACCGTGCAGCCAAGATAACTTGGAGCAAGTCGTTGAAATGCAGCACTGAAATCCTTTGATACATCAGCGGTTTACAGAGTCAAAGATTCAAGTCGTAATGGCGGAACGCTCCCACCTAAGGCCCACGAGGCAAATCCAACAGAGGTTTTTCAAGCTGATGTGCAACAGAGCGTGAGAAAATGGCAAGCTCTTGGGAGAAGAGCCAAGAAATATGGTCCAGCAACTATCCGAGAGGCCCAAATAGCAGTGTCTGATGTTCTTAGCCGACTACACTTTAACACAGCAGTATTTTGTGACTGGTACGAAGCGCGAGCAGCAGGCCGCCATCTTCAAAAGAGATGGAAGACCGATCTGGTGGCAAGAAGAGTTTAGGATAAGGAAAGTCTGAAGAAAGGTTGCCGTATTTCAGTGGTCAAATAAGTTTTAGACTTTCCTTAAGTGTTTCTTCCGTTTTCCGGTCGAATGCTTTTCAAAACATCCACAAACACGTCATGATATTCTTAACGCAACAACCCTTCGTTTTGAGATTCGTTTTTTCTAACAAATCACGTGATTTTGCGTACCTTTGTGATTTCGTTACCTACTTTGGTTACGCTGTAACGCAAGTCCTCCTTGCGTGATCAACATGAATATATTTCCTCATGTGTGGGATTTGGTAAAGTTCAGAACAGAAAAAATATAATTGAGGTTCCTTGGCTTGTTTTATTTTTGTTTAATAAAATGTCAATCAAGAACAGTTTTGTCCAGTGTCCCATTGTTTTTGTGTGTGACCTGTGATCTGACCTGTGACTTGTGGTCTGACCTGTGACCTGGCCTGTAACCTGTGACCTGTGACCTGACCTGTGACCTGTGACCTGTGACCTGTACTTTAGCCCCGCCATGGAACAGTGGGACGTCTGATGGTGGAACAGTGGAACATCTAATGGTAAAACAGTAGGACAATTGATGGTGGAACGGTAAAAAAGACATGGTGGAACAGAAGAACATCTAACGGTGGAACAGTGGAACGGAAATGGTGGAACGGTATGACATCTTATGGTGGAAGGGTGGAACAGAGATGGCGGAACAGTAGATCATCTTATGGTGGAACAGTGGAAAATACATAATGGCACAGTGCAACAGAGATGATGGTGGAACATTTCAACATCTGATGGTGGAACAGTAGACCATCTATTGGTGGAACACTGGAACATTGGAACTGAGATGGTGGAACAGTACAACGTCTGAAAGTGGAAAAATGTTTCGTCTGATGGTGGAACAGTGGAACAGCTGATCGCGGAACACTAGAACACCTGATGGTGGATCAGTGGAACATCTGATCGTAGAGCAGTGGAACATCTTGAGTTGGAACATTAGAACATCTGGTGGTGGGAATGTGGAACATCTGACACTGGAACAGTGGAACAGAGATGATGGTAAAACAGTAGAACATCTGATGGAGGAACAGTGGCACAATCATGGTGGAACAGTGGAACATCTCATGGTGGAACAGTAAAACATCTTATCCCGGAACACTAGAACATCTGATGGTGGAACAGTGGAACAGAGATGGTTGAACAGTAGAACAGTGGAACAGAGGAAGGGAGATGTTGGAACAGTGGAACATCTGATTGTGGAACAGTCAAACATCTGATGGTGGACCAGTGGAACAAAGAATGTAGAAAAGTAGAACATCTTATGGTGGAACAGTGGAAGATCTGATGGTGGAACAGTAGAACATCTGATGATGGAACAGTGGAACAGAGGTGGTGGAACACCTGAACATCTGATGTTCGAATAGTAGAACATCTGATAATGGAAAAGTGGAACATCGGATGGTTGAACAGTGGAAAATACATAATGGAACAGTGCAACAGAGATAATGGTGGAACAGTTTAACATCTGATGGTGGAAAAGTAGAACATCTGATGGTTGAACAGTAAAACATCTGATGGTGGAACAGTGGAACATCTGATGGTACAACAGTAGAGCATCTATTGCTGAAACAGTGAAACAGAGATTTTGGAACATTGGAACTGAGATGGTGTAACAGCAGAACATCTGATAGTGGAACGGTGTTTTATCTCATGATCGAACAATGGAAAATACATGGTGAAACAGTGTGACAGAGATGATGGTAGAACAGTGGAACATCTGATGGTTGAACCATAGAACATCTGATGGTGGAACAGTGGAACAACTTATGGTGGAACAGTAGAACATATGATAGTGGAAAAGTGGAACAGAGTTGGTGGAACAGTGGTACAAAGTTGTGGAACAGTAGAACATGTAATGGTGGAACAGTTGAACAGATATGGTGGAACAGTGGAACATCTAAAGGTGGAACGGTGGAACAGAGATGGTGGGACAGTAGAACATCTGATGGTGGAAGAGTGGAACAGAGGTTGGCGAACAGTAGATCATCTTATGGTGGAACAGTGGAACAGAGATGGTGGAACAGTAGAATTCCTGCTGGTGGAACTGTAGAACATCTTATGGTGGAACCGTAGAACATCTTATGATAAAACATTAGAACAGAGATGGTGGAACAGCGCAACACAATTGGCGGAACAGTAGATCATCTGATGGTGGAACAGTAAAACAGACATCGTGGAACATCTAAAGGTGGAACAGTGGAAGAGAGTTGGTGAAACAGTAGAACATATGATGGTGGAACAGTGGAACCTCTGATTTTTTGTAGTGGAAAAACATGGTGGAACAGTAGAACACAGATGGTGGAACAGTAAAAACATCTGATGATGGAACAGTGGAACATCTGATGATAGAACAGTGGAACGTCTCAAGTTTGAACATTAAAATATCTAATGGTTGAACAGTAACACATCTGATAGTGGAACAAAGCAACATCTGATGGTGTAACAGTGGAACAGAGATGATGATGGAATAGCAAGCATCTTATGGTGCAACAGTACAACATCTCATGGTGGATCAGTGGAAAGGAGATGGTGGAAGAGTAGAACATCTTATTGTGGAACAGTGGAACAGAGACGGCAGAACAGTAGATCATCTCATTGTGGAACAGTGGACGAAAGATGGTAAGACAGTGGAAGAGAGACGGTGAAACAGTAAAACATCGAGTGGAACAGTGGAACATCTGATGGTGGAACAGTAGAACATCTTATGGTGGAACAGTGGAGCAGAGATGGCGGAACAGTAGATCATCTGATGGGTAAACAGTGAAACAGAGATGGTGTAACAGTCAAATATATGATGGCAGAACAGTGGAGGAGAGATGCTGAAAGAGCAGAACATATGATGGTCGAACAGTGGAACATCTGATTGTGGAACAGTAAAAAGAGAGATAGTGAAACAGTGGAACGTCTTATGGTGGAAGAGTGGAATAGAGATTGTGGAACAGTAGAACATCTAATTGTGAAACACTGGACCATCTGATGGTTTAACGGTGGAACAGAGATGGAGGAACATTAGAAAATCTGATGGTGGAACAGTAGAACAAGTGATGGTAGAACAGTCGGACTTCTGACTGTGGAACAGTAGAACATGTAACAGTGAAACAATGGAACGCAGACGGTGGAACTGTGGAACAGAGGTGGTGGAACAATTAAACATCTGGTGATGGAACAGTAGAACATCTGATGGTGGAACAGTGGAACATCTGATGGTAGTACACTGGAAAATATGCATTGGAACAGTGGAACAGACATGATGGTGGATCACTAGAACATCTGATGGTGGAACAGTGGAAAAATGATTGTTGATAAATGGAAAATCTGATGGTGGAACAGTAGAACATCTTGTTATGCAAGAGTAGAACGTCTGATGGTTGAACAGTGGGACATGTGATGGTAGTACAGTGGAAAATACATGGTGGAACAGTGGAACAGAGATGGTGGAACAGTAGAACATCTGATGGTGAAACAGTGCAACAATGATGGTGGAAGAGTGAAACATCTGATCGTGGAACAGTAGAACATGTGAGGGTAAAACAGTGGAACAGAGATTGTGGAACAGTGGAACATCTAATGGTGGAACAGTGGAGCATCTGATGGTTTAACGGTGGAACAGAGATGGTGGAACAGTAGAACATATTATGGTGGAGCAGTGGAACAGTCATGACCGAACATTGGAACAGAAATTTTGGAACAGTAAAACATCTGATGGTGAAACAGTGGAACAGAGATAGTGGAAGAGTAGAACATCTGATTTTGGAACAGTAGGACATCTGATTGTGAATTGTGGAACAGTGGAACAGAAATTGTGGAACAGTGGAACATCTACTGGTGAAACAGTAGAACATCTGATGGTGGAAAAGTTGAACAGGCATGGTGATACAGTAAGTAGATCATCTGATGGTGGAACATTGGAACATCTGATGGTGGAACAGTAGGTCATGTGATGGTGGAACAGTGGAACAGAGATGGTTCAACACTAGAACAGTGGAACACTGAAACAGAGATGGTGGGACAGTAAAACATCTGATTGTGGAACAGTCAAACGTCTGATGGTGGAAGAGTGGAACAGAGACTGTAGAACAGTCGAACATCTTATGGTGGAACAGTGGAACATCCGATGGTGGATCAGTAGAACATGTAATGGTGGAACAGTGGAACAGAGATGATGGCGGAACATTAGATCATCTGATTGTGCAACAGTGGAGGAGAGATGGTGGAACAGTGGAACGTCTGATGGTGGAACAATGGAACAGATATGGTGGAACACTGGAACATTTGATGGTGGAACAGTAGAGCATCGAATGGATTAACAGTGGTATTCAGACGGTGGAACAGCAGAATATCTGGTAGTGGAACAATGTTTCATCTGATGGTGGAACAGTGGAAAATACATGGTGGAACAGTGAAACAGAGATGATGGTGGAACTCCCGGGAGTACTTTAGGAATTTCTGGGTGGTGATGTGCCGCTGGGACTCTGGAGCCCTTAACCTATACGAAAGCTAGTTCAGCTGACTTTTGCTACCCTATACTAGAGTAAACTCCCCAAATCCCCCCTATCCTAGAGTAGCTGTTTTCCAGAAACTACTGAGGTCACTAGCACAGTCTAGCCAAAACAAAACCTTATATCACAATCCCTAGTCTAGATAAAATCTTCAACCAACTGATCAGTTTCCTGAAAAATGATACCCTATTCTAGACCCAAACGCTCGGATCCTAGAGTAAACTGATTGAAAACCATACCCTTCACAGCGGCACATACCTATATAGCCCATATATGGCAGTACCCCCCGGGGGTGGAACAGTGGAACATCTGATGGTGGAACACTGGAACATCTGTTGGTGGAAAAGTAGAGCATCGAAAGGATGAACGGTGGAACTGCGATGGCGGAACAGTAGAACATGTGATGGTGGAACAGTGGAAAATCTGATGGTACAACAGTGGAACATCTCGAGTTGGAACATTAGAACATCGGATGGTGCAAATGTGGAACATCTGATGATGGAACAGTGGAACAGAGATGATGGTGAAACAGTAGAACATCTGATGGTGGAACAGTGACGCAATCATGGTGGAACAGTGGAACATCTAATTGCGGAACACTGGAACATCTGTTAGTGGAACAGTAGAGCATCGAGTGGATGAACAGTGGAACTGCGATTGTGTAACAGTAGAACATCTGATTGTGGAACAGTGGAACATCTGATGGTACAACAGTGGAACATCTCGAGTTGGAACATTAGAACATCTGATGGTGCAAATGTGGAACATCTGATGATGGACCAGTGGGACAGAGATGATGGTGAAACAGTAGAACATCTGATGGTGGAACAGTGCAAAATGATAGTGGAACAGTAGAACATCTGATGGTACAACAGTAGAACAGAGATGGTGGAACAGTGAAACATCTAATAGTGGAACAGTCGAACATCTAATGGTCGAACAGTCGAAGATCTAATGGTGGAACAGTCAAACAGAGATTGTGGAACAGTAGAACATGTGATGGTGAAACAGAGGAACAGAGATGGTGGCACAGTGGAACAAAGATGGTGGAACAGTACAAAATCTAATGATAGAACAGTGGAACAGAGATGGTGGAACAGTAGAACATTTGATGGTGGAACATTAGAACATCTAACGGTGGAACGGTGGTACACTAGAACATCTAATCGTGGAAGAGTGGAACAGAGATGGTTGAACAGTAGAACAGTGGAACAGTGGAACAGTGGAACAGAGATGGTGGAACAGTGGAACATTTGATTGTGGAACAGTCACACATCTGATTGTCGAACAGTGGAACACAGACTGCGGAACAGTCTAACATCTTATTGTTAAAGGGTGGAAAATCTTTTGGTGGAAGAGTAGAACATCTGATGGTCAGAGAGAAACACAAAGATAAATAAAAAAGGCAATGGCGTCATTACGTTGTCATGGCGACTCCGATTGCAATAAAACCCAGACCGTAAGAATTTTTTTGTATGATACTCAAAAGTACTCACAGTTATATAATACTGTTGTGGTAACCTTTTTTTCATATCTTTACTTACGCCGACGTAGTTAATGCTCAGACTTGGGAGGTATCCCCTCTAAAACCCAAGCGAGCCACCTTAACGTCAAACTCACTTTGCAACATTGCTGCAAAATGAGTTGAACGTTTTACTGGCCACCTTTAACCCTGTCTGCAACAATACAGATTGTTGCAGAATGTAGGGAAAAAGTTATACGTTTTGCAACAAAATCTGCACATGTTGCGCGTTTTACCGGCCCAAGGCAAATTTTTTTGGCAGCAAGTAACGTAACTGCCATGTATGGTGTGACTCCCGGGTAATTTTGTCCAATCAGAAATCAGTATTCACGTAACTTGCAACAAGCTGAGTAGACCTCCTTAGCTTGTATGTTTTGTTTTCCTAATACAGGTCAAGTGATAATACCCTAGAGAACTGTTTCTTTCAAAGTTCGTCTTATTCACGTGCATTTCCACACATAAATTATGAAAAGACAAAGAGCTAAGTTCCCCAGGGACCTCCACTGGGAAAACAGAACATACATGCTGTTGTAAAACAGGTTTGATTGGTGGCTAGTAAAACGTGCAACGTCGCTATTGAACTCGTTCAGTTGCAATAATGTCGCAAAATACGTTGCCCGTTTTTGTTGTCCGTTTTACCTTACCCTAGCGTCGAACCGAGGTTCGTTGTGAGAGAAACATTGATTTCAATACCTCTGATGATAAGCCAGAGCTCCGTCTTTTATGTGAAAATTTATTTTAAACCATGTACAATGTTTTAAACGTGAACACTCTTTCACGGCTGTAAGTTGAAAATCAGGCATCAGCTTAATTTATAACTCTTCTCTTTCCAGCTAGCATATGTACACCCTTAAATTCAGATTAAGATTTACGCTGTAATAATTTCTTCGTCTGACTTTTTATACGTCAGTCATCATGTTTAAATATACTACGGTAGGAAAACTGATCCATCCCCATCAGGTATGTTGCTTTAAGTAGTTTGCAAAACTTCTATTGCGAGCAGTCTCTTTTTCGTTTGAGTCACAGTGGATAGAAAGCACACGTGACAGGTGGCCGTAAGGAACGAGGGTGGGAACAAGGGCGGAATTATCGTTATTCTGCATAATTTTCAGTTTTCGCTTAGCATGCGGTTTGTTAAAAAATAAAGATTGGAGTTGTGTGAATAAACGGAAATGTCTGTTCATTACACTATGTTGCTAATTATACTATTAACTTCTTTTCTTTTCAACAAAATGTAAACATTACGAGTGTTTGAGAAATTACCATGTTTTTACTAAACTCTTTTGAGAATTCTTTTTTCAAAGACTAGTTCTTAAAAGCCGCGCTATACAATACCTTTTCCTTAATGCACAAGAAAGAATAAATTCAGCTTAAAATATAATTAGATCAGAAATCACTCTTCTTCCACCAAGCTTTAAAAATTTGCTGCCTTTCAAAGTGGTTCGAACTTTTTAATTGGCTGTTACTGTTTAATGGCATTAGCGTGTGCTAGAAATGTACAATTTCGACTTCCCGACAAACGGTCTTGCGTGGCAGTCGGTTGAAATGAAATTTACATAATGATCCCTCACTCAACAACCTTAAAACAAACGGCTTCCCATTGCGAATTAAATGACACCAATCAACGGAAAATAGACTTTTTAGGCGGAAACGCGGTGGAAGCAAACTTCAATCATAAACGCCGATAATCAGTAGGTCAATAACACGCCTGGTCCATTTCTAATAGCACTAAATTGACAACTTGTCATGCCTGTAAGCTTTTAGCGCTTATTTGCGAATAAAGCAACAATTTTCGCTAATTAAAAATCCTCAGTTTGCTGGTGAAAACACACGATGAATAATTTACTTGCATATATTTAAAATTCGAGAAGATCAGAGGAGAAAAATTCCCTCTGTGAAATTGAAAGGAACTTAAGAATGTTACAATTGATCGTCTAATCGTTATCAAACTTGCGTTTTAGAAGGTAAGGTTTATTGAGTGAAAAGTTTTGATCATCTCTTCGATTCTTCTTATATAGTTTGTTTTTATCCATTCCTTGTTCAAATATTAATATTGGTGGCGATTCAAAAGCACTCCATATGCTTCCGAATTTTCTTCAAGTTAAAGTTGATCAACTCGGAAACAAGGCCATTAGGGAAAATAGACTTAAAACTGTATGTTTAAGAAAAATTCTGAACGACCAGTAATGAGCATCAATAGGTACTTGGTTTTGAGAAACATACGGAGTAAAAAAAGGACGTTCGTCTTTAATCTAGCTACAGCGGAAGGAAGTACAACTTATGTTATCACTAGCTCAAGCCTTAAAAGGCATTCGAGATCAGAAAAAACCTTCATTTCAGTGAATATTTGTTAGTGTTTTTGGGTTAATCGCTGGATTAACTTCAATAACTGTACTGACAGTCTACCCTCTTCGGGAATACTTACTAAAGGTGCAAGCATACCTTTTAAAGGCTGCATTTAACTAATGGTTTGCCTAAAAAATTATTTAACCGAGAGCTAAATATTTTTGGCAATTGACACTTTTTCGATGAAATATCTTCATAGTGAGTTTTAAAGGAGGAGCATATGAATTTTATCTACGGCTTGATCTTCGCTTTGACGACGATGATAGTGATCCTTGTGGCCAGAGAAAATAGAGGTAGGCATATATTTTTTATTTGCTCGACTTCGGCGCACCATGTTGTACTCTCCAAAGCTTATGTCGCCTTTCATAGTAGGCTTTGTTAAAAATATGATTTGCTAGAGTACCCTTCCGTAAACTGAATATACCGGCTAATATTTTATTCATTTGTCAGCATCCACACAAAAACAAACCAAACTCCATGTTTTTGTTGCCAGAGAAACTTTGCCAGAAGTCATGATGTGAGGAATCGTTTTAATACAGAAGTATTATTCGTTTAATTGTAGGAAAAAAAAGTGCTGAGCACTATAAGTATTCGAGTGAAGTGTCACAAAGACTCGTTCAAACCCAGCGAGACTATATTAGAAGAAACAACACTCTATAGGGGAAGATGAGCTGTGAGGTCGTTATCACAGCTATACTATACCGTAACAAAAAAAGAATTCAATAACGTAAGAGAAAGAAATGGTTCAGCTAGTTCGTAAATATGATGACCTACGGGAAGCTCATTCGCGAAAAAAAAGGAAGTGAACGTCAGCAGGGGCAAAACTAGCTAAAGAACATATTATCTCTGATCCCAAGGTACTGATTCATGAGCGGGAGTGGGAAGGAATCACCCTTCAATCTCCCTTTGAACATTAGATGGAACTGTGTGACCATAACTGGAGCTGCGAGACGTTTTACGGCAGTCGGAGACGAGACCATCCTCCAGCAACATGGACGCCAACATGAGTTGAATTACATTATTTAGTTTCTGTCCTTAGTGACATGCAGCTGGACTAGCACAATTTTTAAAATTAATTCGGAAGTAATGCGTGGAACCTGTTCAATAGTAAAATGCAAATGTGAAAAAAAAAAAAAAACAAACAAGGAAAACCTAGTAAGTGAAAGTGTAATAATGTTTTTAACTCATCCTTTCAATCTTTTCTCCACTGCTTGTGAATTAGCTAGATATATCGGGAACTCATTCATGAAATTCAAGTGCTCGTCCTCATAAACCATATTTTTAGGACCTTTTAGCAGGGGAAGGGAGAAGGAGAATTAGATATCTGCTTGAGATTGGATAACCGCCGGTCTGCCGAACGTTCAAACCTCGGCCGGACCAACAGTCACGGTCTTAAAGTAACTGAGGAGAATGTGCTGCCTTTGTTTTGACGTCTAAAAATGGTTAGACATTCTAGTTTTCTTAAGCTGGCGGCTTAACAAAGAGTGGCATTCAGGAAAAGTTGAACTGTAATTAACGTTGTCCCCTCAACATATCATTTCATAACTGTTGGTTGGAAGACTACGCGCTGGGTGGAAGAAAATCCTTATGTCCTTAAAAATACGATTCTATAATATTCTACTACACCCTCAATACATTTTATGCAATTTGCAATGTTACATTGCATTGCATGAAGTTACAAGGACCGGAATGTTTGAGATGTTTTGGCCGTATTATAGAAACGTAATAATCAATGAACGTCTTGTGCAACATTCTCTCGCAGGATGTGGCACAACGGCCTCAGGCTTAAATGGAACAATAACCAGCCTTACTCCACCACAGAGGCAACTTCACTTTTCTGAATACAAATGCAGGTGGAAGATTGAGCTACAAGAAACACCCGAACCTCGACATGTAGAACTGACATTTGTGAGGTTCAATATGACTGGAGTTATGCCAAAATGCTTAGATGGAGATTATATAGAGTTATTCCTCGGTTGTAACAACTCCAAGTCTATTGGCAAGTTTTGCGGTCAGACTCTATTACCTGTAGTGTATTCTTCAGATCACTGCCTTCAAATCGTCTTTCACTTTTTTATGGCCATCATACCTAGACGACGCTCCGTGTTTCAAGCCATCTATAATCAACGATTACTCTCAACAGGTAACAGGATTTGAACTAGTTTAACAGCATCAGGACTAGTCACTAAGAAACTGCCCTCTTAGCACAACACACACTACTCCGGCACACCTTGTCCTTAAATACCCTGCACGTTTATATTGGAGGAACGTTGTCCCGGGAAAGAGGGTCACACTCCAAGCCCGGTGAACTTTAGCAAGCCAAGAGCTGTCAACAGCACACGCACATACCCTGATTGTTTGTTTGTTTATTATTATTTTATTATTTTTTTTTCTATTGAGGATAGCAGGTCTAGGCGAGTTCCCCTTCTACCCGGGCTAAGTTATGTCCATATACACCACTTGCCCATCTCCCATAATGCACCTTATTTTCTCCCTTCACCCACCCCCCCCCAAAAAAAAAAAAACTGCATAACCTTTGTTTTTCATTTCTCCTCGGCATTATAGCTGTCCCAAGGGAAATTGAAAACGATGCCTATGCAAAATAAGGTATATGGGAGAGGTGCAATTGGTGTATAAACGGGTCCCTTGGTGAGATGACGTTAGAAAAGGAAGATTGACTCAATAGGTGAGATTTTCATACTTTTGCACAGGGTAGAGTTCGCAACTCACAGTTTTCTTTTATACAGCCTTTTTCACTTTGTCTCTTTAGTCTATGTCAGGATTGATCAAATTCGCAAATGACTTAACATTAAACACGTAGCGAATTTAACGTAATTTATAGCAAATTAAATGATTACTTTCTTAATTCTTTCTTTCAGCTGTATCTCAAGATAATTGTAAGTACACCACTACGAAGCCATCAAAATTTTTCTTATCAATGCTCGCCTTTAGGGACTTCCGGTTAACGTCCGAAAATATTTATACCTTTCAGTCGGATGCGGCAAAGATAACCACGCTTACGCAAAGAATGGAAATATTTTCTCCCCTCATTGGCCCCTACCCTACCCCCGGTACGTGGACTGTGTATGGCGCGTTACCACCAGGCCTGGTTTCCATGTGAAACTGGTGTTCTTTGACTTTGATGTTAGATCGAGTGACAAATGTGCAGAAGCTGATTTTATAGAAGTGAAAACAGGAGGTAGGGTATTCAATGAGAGCACAAATTCTAATAATAGTAAAAAAAGAATGGATAGTGCAGGCCATTTTCTTTTTGCCGAGTACAGCACCTACTGGGTGGTCGGCATCTTTGAATTACTAAGTGGGAAAAAAAGAGAGATCACTAAATAGGCCATAACTGTCCCCTGTTCGTTTTAATTCGTATTACGGTCGACCCCTCTACAATGGCCATCTCTTAGCTGTTTTGAGGCTGTGAGCGTGAGAGTGGCTGGGTGTTGTTGATGAGGCTGTGCAAGAAGTTGGGTCAAAATTTTTTCCCTAAACATGCAATTCGACACAGACGACCCAGTCTCAAGCGAAAACTAGAAAACGAGAAGGAAACTGGGCCGAGTTAGCTTTTGCAAAGACTTGCAAATGATGCGCTCTTGGGCTGTTGTCCCTGCCTCCAGTACCCAGAAGTCTTTGCCAATGTTAACTAAACCCCGTTTTCTCTCCTTTCGAAAGTGGTCAGTGGGACGGAGGTAAAAATGGTCTTACAGACCTGGGACAAGTTTCTCGAAAGGCCCAGAAAGCTGTTTTATGTTTGCCGTGTTTGCATTCAAGATTTAAATTTCAATAATTCTGAAAATGGTACAATGAAGCTATCACTTAACGAAGCAAAATTGACCGGTTTGTGGGCAAGGAACTGTGCTGATATTCAACAGGTTTTGATTTTAAAATTTGACTTCGGGCCCAACATGTTTCCGGCGGTGTTAACAGTGATATGGGCATCCCCATTCCCAAAACTCTTGTGATATCAGCATCCCCTTCTCGTATTACGTTAGTGATTTAAGTTTGCCCTAACCCTAATCCTTACTCTAACCCTAACCCTGACCGCTAACGCTAACCCTTAAAACTAACCCTAACCCTACCCTATCTATAACTGTAATGCTATTTTGGGTAGGGACGGGAAAAGACCAAGGGGGACGGGCATGGGGGGGGGGGGGGGGGGGGTAAACAGATAGAAATTCATAAAATTCTGTCTAAAGCCACTTCTACAAAAATCCCTAGCCAAGAAACAACCAAGAAAAGATACGGCATAAAGAAACAACACAGTAAACAAACTAAGACAAAGGAAAATCAGATAAATTACAAAATTTTTGCTAACCCAGGCAGGAGTGTGATCCAGGTATAAATGAATAGTTCACAATAGTAACCTTTTTTTTCTCACTTTTTTCTTCATATCAATTTCCAAAGGCTTTAGCTCCAACCAAAGAAAGTCCGTAACGCAATCTAAACAATGTGGAACCAAACCACCCTTTATCCTGATAATTGAAGATGATACGATATTTATTCAATTCAAAAGCCACGCGATGACAGGAAATAGAGGATTCATGGCTGGATTTGTTACTTACAGCATAGGTAAGAATGGTGCCGTTAAAGTTCAACAGTAACATGACAGTAATACATTGATTTAGCCAAGGCCAAAGGCGATGCTCTCGTGGTTTTTTTTAAAGTTACTTTTTCTTAAATACAGTTTTCTAGAGCCTGCGATCACTTTTAAATACCATAATAGGTCAGGGGAAAAATTTAAAAACACACTTCACCTCAATGAGTTGTACACCTGAGCCAGTCATGACACTGGTCAGCAAATACCCTGTTTTGACAGATGTCAGTTGATCATAACATGGACGTCTAATATCATGTTAAACACAATTTGTTTTTGCCTTGGACTTACAAAGCTAGTAAGTGAGACATTTCACTTCCGCTAACATGATTGGAGGCATAGAAAACCTAATTTCTTACCCATTGTGCTCCGCTGAGAACTGCATTCAAGGATCTGCATTTTTCCAGGTTTAATTGCTTCAGTTGGTAAACTATTGGTGTAATCTAAAAAGTTACTTTATTTCAGCACGTTCTTAAACAGTTTCTTATTATAGCGGAGCTCCACCCGCGCGCGAAGCGCGCGCGTGGGCAGAGCCCCATAGCTAAGGAAATGTGGTAATCTACCCATCCCACAAAATTTGGTAATCACGTGACCGTACACCGAGCGAGCGAGCGATCGAGTGAGCGACCGTCCGTCCGCACCACAGGCATACCAATGTAAAATAACTCAATCAACAGGTATGGGAACATGCAACTCAAGGTTTTAGCTCAACTCAAGTCGTGTCTTTTTCGGCGTTACTTTTTATGTGTACACTAACGTGGATAACAGAGAAAGAGCTAGAGCGAGTTATTAAAAATTCGAAGGAAGAAAAACATGATAATTCAAAGCGGCGGTGAGAAAATGAGAAATGTTAGCGGCCAGCAAGGTGAAAATGAGCAGCAGTGAAAATTAAAAGCGAACATGAACACTGGAAACAAAATATTGGGTAAGCACATACGACAATTTCTGCATAAAAATAGTGTGTAACTAGGAAGTTTGACGTTTTAGTCGTACAAAACAGCGTTGTAGTCGTGCAAAACAACGGCAAGGGAAAGACAAAAAAGCGTGCTACACGTGCAAATTTGTTTTTTGGTAATTAGAAGAAAAAGTGTGCTGCACGTGCAATTTGTTTTTTAGCTAATTAGACCTATTAGTCTTGAAGCCATTTTCACTGTTGTCCTCCGTTTAGTATTACACGATTTAATTTTTTTGTTTACACGTATTATTAACCAGAGCTTCGCTTTTAGCCCTGGCTAAATCTGTATATTGTTTTTATAAGAATTCTACGGTGGTAGAATATTGGTAATTGACCACTCCAGAAAATACCATGACATACCATAATGCTCTTTGTTTGTCACCCCAAAATTTTGCATAAGTATTGTCTTCAGTTTCTCTTGAGAGTTAAAATGGCCCCAAGAGAAACTGAAAACAATGCTTATGCAAAATTTTGGGGTGACAAACAAAGAGCATTATGGTATGTCATGGTATTTTCTAGAGTGGTCAATATAAGGTTTGTGTCTGTCTTAGTGACGTGTGCAATCGAAACACTAGCCGGCGTCGTTGTCGGGATTAGCGGGCGATGGGACCAAGAAAGTCCTCCGAACATAACAATCCTGCCAGCTACGCAAATTAAAGCAAACACAAACTCTATTTCAAGTTCTCTCTAATTTCTTACACAGAGGAAAAGAGCAATAAAACCAACGTTGTCATCCTGCTTGGCGTGATATTCTTAGCTCTTCTAGCACCTCTTGGAAAGGCTCTTCTCCAAAAGCTGGTAGACAGAAACAAGTTTACGAGAAAGAATATTTTTTACCGCTTTAGACGGCGTTCTAAAACACCAAGTATCTCACCTAGGATCTCAAACCTATGGAGAGAACCATATGAGGTCGCGCCCGACCGGATATCAGTAGCTACTCAAGACAATAAGCCCTTCGACGTGCCGTGGACAAGAGAAGAACGTTCACCAAGTAAAACCTTTACAAAGACTGTAACGTTTGGAGCAGCTGCGCCACAGATAGGCATTGTTCAGTGACTATTGCTTTTGTTTAGGAACAAACCGAAATTGGTGCACTGTAACGGTCAAGGAAAAATCTTTTTGCACAAATGTCTTCAAACATAATTCTACAAACATGTAAAAGTCGGGAAGATTTGTACTCTTATAAAAGTCTGTAAAATCACAATTTTTAGACATTTCACCAGCTCTGCAAATAGTCCGGTTTTTTTTCAGTTAACGGTTATAGGCCCGTCAAACTTCTTTGTTATATTTTTTCAGTGTTAGCTTTTTAGGGCTCCACCATACACAACATTCACCAGCGTTCTTACCATTTTTACCTTCCTGAACAATAGAAAAATCGCATTTATTCAATCACTCACAATTTGTCAACAGAAAACAAAGGACTGTGCACGGTCAGGGAGCTACCAACATAAACCGCAACACCGTTGTTTTCATTTATTTCTTAACACTATTTCTTGTTTAGAAGTAAAGATTTCCACACAGGTCAAGGTGTAATACGACTTTATTACTCATACAGTAGCACAATATGACGCCGTACTTTAAATACAAAGAAAAAAGCAGACCTTAAGCCCTAAAGATACTTAGCTCATATTAGTCAATACCAACATCACGGCACTTCTAATGTATTCTTACTTTACCGATTCATTATTTCAACAATTATCCTCTAGATAAAGGAGTGTGTACATAGTTAGGATATGTGATCAGCTTCTAAATGACCACTTCTATAGGACCAATAATTATAGGAAATTCTGAAATATAAGAGAAACAAGTATAGAAAAATTTTCTGTTCAGTATGCTCACATCCAGCACTTAAAGTGTGAGAATAAATAATGAATGAGTATATGGTTTCTTCATCTGAAACAAAGGGCCCTTATCATTAGTCAGAAATAGGGGGACAACTCGATAAAGTTTTATATGGCGAGGCTCCGCCCTGCCTGAGGTTCAACCCCCTTCCCTTTTAAATAACATTTTTTACAGGAAAAGGTACCCATTTCGCATACCTAGTTTAGAACTTTTCATCCCTTTTAAGGGCTGTAAATGCACTGTCTCCAAAATATGAATAAATCACAAAACCAGAATATTTCCTCGACTTTTGCAAAGCCATAAAATGCACCTGCTAGCTCAAAGGTTAGCCCTTTTGCGCCCTTTTACAGCCCCAAAATAAATGACGGATTTCCCTACCCTTTCATATACATTAGAGCCTCCCCGCAGAGGCCATAATAGGGAATACCCCCCTCCGGGGACCAGTTCAGTCGTAAAGGGAATTCCATTATTAATCAGGACTATTCAGCCAGATCAGTCTATTCCTAAATGGTGGTACGCACGAATGATCCGATGGGTTTCAGCGTTAAGTCTCAAAAGAGCCTAGAATTTCATTTTCGAGATAAGTGGTCTGGCCAGCTAGTTCTGACCTTGCGTCCGTGGACAATAAATCTCCCGCGGTTTGTATTTTCATATGCCCGCTCGATGACGGGTCTGGGGAACAGGCTAACCAAATTTAGAATTAAATTCTATGTCATAACAAGTTACATCTTTTGAGATGTGACACGATTTTTAACTACCGTGCTACCGACTGTAGTGTTTTGTACAAAATGACATATATAACGCTTATTACACTAGTTAATAATAAAACTTCCTCGGCTAATAGCGACGGTGCGGCTAAAAAGGGTAAAACTAAAAAAAGGAAGAAGAAAACGCGCGCACACACACACACACACACACACACACCTGATGGGCTCAACGTTTTCCACAAAAATTCCGGTTAAGTGTTCCGCAAGTTTTAGATCAGTCTGAAATTTCCCAAAAAAAAACACAAACAAAAACAAAAAAAGAGGGCAACCACGCAAGGAATTACAACTTTCAGTATTTTGTGTAATTTTGCTTTCTGCGCGATTCTGTTCCCAGAATTTTAATAGCGTGAATCACAGTTTTAAAAACTTAAACGTTTCCGCAATTTTCTGTCGAATAGAGAGCCCGTGATATATCCGCTGGGACGAGGTGCCTTTAACGGCACCGTAAAACCTGACCTGCAGGGTACAAAACAATCTATTAATTATCTAATTGTAGTAGCAACTGACATGTGGAATGACTTTCCCTACGGCTTTATGAACATCGGCCTCAGATGTCAGATACATTCCGACACCTGCAAGATTAGAGAGAATGCATTAATCAGAAAGGATGTTCGCAGCAGGCGATCTTATACAATGACAACATTGGACTATAAATTCCACGATTTGATTCAGGTATCCACATCATCACATGGTTTGTCTGGCTCACCTCGACTTTTGGGGACGAGGCCGGGAAATCTCGTATCCAGATCTCTTGTGGATGAGGCCGAGGAGAGAGTAGACTACATAACAGTCCAGGAGCGAGGGTGAAAAAAGGTGTAAGACTGGAGAGAAAGGACCTAATGGCGCGAAAATCTTACGCTGGCGCATTGAAACCCAATTTTGAGGGGGAAAACCCGACTTTTCTGCAGTGTAAAAGAATGCGATCTTAATACGAGATAAACCATCCAATGATTGTATGGAAGGCAGCCAATTAGACAAACGTAATTCTACCTAGTCTGCGGTCGGCTCCGGGATCGTCTAACATTGCGTTTGAAGTCCTGCCAGTTACCTGAACTTTACTTTAGAAGACTCTGGCCAAGCTACAATCGGTGACAAAATTGTTGAGACATTGTACTCAAATAGGGTAACTTCAAAGAACAAAACAACCCACACCCCTCCCCTCTCCCTTCCGTTCATAGTTGGGGTGTTTGTTGTTTTCTATGGGTAGCTCGAACAGTGGCACAACATTGAATGGTGGGGATGGGGGAGGAAAAGCTTTATTTTCCCCTTTTGAAGTCAGTAAAACATCAGAAAGCCCCTTTAAGGCGAAGTGCCTCAACTAATTTTGTCGCCGAGCTAGCCCTAAGGACCTTTGTAATTAGAAAGGACAGACACTACATGCATACTTGACAAAAAAGGTCCAGGGGAAGAAGCTTGTTAGTCTTGGTCATAACAAGGCCACAAAAATGCCAAATTTTGTTGTGCAATTTCCAACTCGTCCAAGACAAATTTTGGTACGTTCAAAATGGTAAATTAAAATGTACATTTTAATGTTAAATCGAATAAATTCAATAAGGCCGCCATATCGGTAAAAAGGTCTATTGGCCAATAGCTGACCGGCGTATCCTCAGTAACTATCCCAGAAACAATTGCGGGACACATTTCGTAAATGACAAAGGTTGATCTCTCACCTGATAGCCTATTGCTTTGTGGGATAAGGCTCGTTTCCTGGTGGTGCAGGGGGGTAGGGTGAGGAGCCTCCAGGTGCTGCTGACGGGTAGGGGGTAGTACCTGCAGGTGCAGCTGCAGGGTAAGGTGCCACACCCCCTGGTGGAGCTGTAGGGTAGCCTGGTGCCCCTCCTGGCTGCTCTGGTGGATAAGAAGCCATTGCTACTGGCTGACCAGGGGGATAGGGTGGGGCTCCTGCAGCCTGTTGAACCGGGTAGGGTGCTGGCCCACCCTGCGGTGGAGGGTATTGTCCGGTTTTACCTTATGAAAATGTAATATCGGTAAAAACACAATCATATTACAAAAATTATACTAATTCCCCTCTCCAATACCGTAAAATTCCGAAAATAAGCCCCAGGGCTTATATTTTTCAAAGGCCCTTTTTGAGGGGCTTATATTCGGAGGGGCTTATCTACGGAGGGAAATTTGCGTCTCAAAATCGATTGGGCTAGCCTTATATTTGGAAGTAAATTTACTGTTTTTGCTTTGTTTTACTTTGTATTTGAGGGCAATTTTCCAATTACTTATATTTGGAGGGGCGGTTTTTCGACAGAAAACTTTGTAGGCACAAAGTAACACCAGAATTTTCTCTTGAATACAACTCGTTGACTTCTGATCTTTACCTGTCCTAAGGCAAAAAAAATTCTGAAACAGTTGCCATGCACCTTGTGCACGGAGACGTAGTGAAATGTTATTGCTAAACTAGTTACAGTTCAGTCGCATTGAATCTTCTGTAGTAGTAATTCTTGGTAACACTGTCCCTTAATTGATAAATTAATTAATTATTATTTTGTGACACAACTGACCTTGCTGAGGATAAGGTGCCGCCACAACCTGACTGTAGGGGGGTGGGGCATATCCTGGGGCTGGTACAGCACCAGCGGGAGGCGGTGCACCATATCCTACAGGAGGGGGTGGTCCATATCCAGGTTGAGAGGGCGGGGGTGGGTGGTGTACTCCAACTTGTGGAGGAGGTATTTGAACTTGTGTCATCATCATATGTTGCCGTTGTCGCACGGCAAGTTTCCTTCGGTACACAAACACGACGAAAATGCAGGTACCGACAATCAATGCAACTATGATCCCAGTAATAATACCGGGGGGAGAGCTGGTAGAGGAATCCGAGTCAGAAGAGTCACTTGCTGTTTAAAAGAGAACAAAGTTATAATGATAACTTATAAATGAAAATATAATGATCTTGAAAATACACAACATGTCAGTCATCCAAATCTTTTCTAGCCTGCATGGCAGGCGTAAAAAGGGGAGGGGGAGGGGGAAGGGAGAGAGGGAAAATCCCCAATCCCCCTCCCCTTTTCCCCTTCCTCCCTATCCCCTACCCCTACCCCTTACCCCTACTCTTTCGACGCCTGCTACGCAGGCTAAATCTTTTCCTGCATAGAATTAAGAACTTAGTTTCTTAAATAATAACCAGTGAGGAAAGAAAAATTGTTGTCTTGTTCAAGTATTGTGGCCTTTGAATAAAGGTAAAATGGAAGTGGTGCATTGTGTATAATGTGGAAAAATCTCTGGTCTAAAATGTTCCATTTGTTTCAAACTCATTATTATAGTATCACCTTACACAAAGACATAGGAAAGCAATACAACTACCGCATTTAATCGATTAACCGCCCTGGGCGCTTATTTAATTTTTGGACCTTGAGAGTGGGCGCTTATTCGAGGCTGGGTGCTTGTTAAATTTTCACCATTTTCAGCAAGTGAAGTATGTTGATTTTGCAACCAAACAACAAATGCTAATAACAAAACGCGAAGAAGTAACAAAGCAAGGTTTCTGTAAAATACTCTGAAGAAATCTCCATCCTCAGGAAAGGCTCTTATTAGAATTTATTCACTCAAGTGGGTGGGGTGGGGTTGGGGGTGAGCGCCTATTTGAAATTGATTGGGAGGAGGAGGGGGTGGGCACTTATTCGAGGCTGGGCGCTTATGAACTTTTTCTGCCTTTAGGATGGGCGCTTATTCGAGGTGGGCGCTAATTCGAGGTTGGGCGCTTATTCGAATAAATACGGTAACTACTAAAATCAAGGACAAGAGTTAACCAAAACAGGACCCTGAATGATTCTCATTAGGTCATATCAAACTTTCTACTGATGTCACTCTCTTTATCTGGTAGAATGCCCCCATTCTACTAATTAAGAATAAAGGTTTATCAAAGGTAATAATATTATTATCAATTGAAGTGCAGAACCTACTTGAGTCCTTGTAAAGGACATAACCAGCAACAAAACCACGGTCTTGAATACGGCTGTCTGATTTAAATCTGATCCAGATTTTATCATATGATGAGGTGAAGTAGAATGGACTCTTTGAACCACACATTGAGCTTTTAACAGTGGTGGATGAATCATATGAATCATAACTGTCCTCCCCTGTAAAATAAACAACGAGAAGTATATGTCATACTGTACAATGCATGGCTCAATAATTAGGATGAACACTTGAACAGTACTATAGTTACAGCAACTAACAAAACTGTGCACACCAGTATTAATTTTGGAATGATATTGCTTTGCAAGAAAAAATCCAATCAAGTGTGGAAAAACCGAAACCACAACTGACAAGCAACACCGGCTGGCTCCCATGTCCTAATCTTTTGCATGACTGGTCATAGTGTAGTCTGCTACACAGCCGTTTTTAGTGTCGTCACGCAACTCTCCTCCAAAAATGGCTGGGTAGCAGACTAGTCATACTGCGACTCAACAAACATTCCTGAAAGATTTCAGGCTTTTCATGGTTTCATTAGTTTGACAGTGAAATAAAAGCACCACCAGCTCTACCAAAAGTATTAGGTCTCATCATTTAAAGAGCATCACATTTGCTACTACATACAGTTGAACATATACTTGCAACCACCTCTCATAGGCAGCTGTCTATTCGAAACATTGAAACTCTTCCAGTCAAAGCCCTATGGTTGGGACCTCTCGTAAGCGACCACCACCCATAAGCGACCGCCTCTAATTCAAAACACCGGAACTCTCCTAGTCAAAGCCTTACAGTTAGAACCTCTCATAAACGACCACCTCCTGTATTCGACCGTGATCACTTTTCAAGGCTGATGGTTTATTAAAATTCCATTGTTTTAAACCTCTTGCAAGTGACCACAACACATTGTCTGATCTCTTTGTTTGCTGTACAGTCCACTCTCTCTTAACGGACACCTCTATAATAAAGACAGACATCTCTATACAACAGACACCTAGAGTTGGTCCCCTCTTCTCTTTACTCCCCTTATTTGACTTTTTATACGACAGACATCTCTCTAATACGGACAGCTGGTGCCGGTCCCAAAGGTGTTCGTCTTACAGAGAGTTGACTGTATGTGCTAACTATGCTACTTGGAGCATTAAAATAAATGACGAATTTTAGTAACACCACCTATGGAACTTAGAATTGCACCCAATCAATTGTCCACCAAAATAATACAGTCAGCTATAAAGCTCTCTCTTAAGTGGTTGCTACATGACAGGAAGTGGTCATCTTTGGGGAAAATAAAGAAAATAAGCTTAATAAACTGAACTGATTAATGTAAATTTCACATAAAGTTATTGAATACATCATCATGTACCTAACAAGCTAAAGCTAGTCAAATAGACAACTGGCAATAAAGTGTCACATCGAATAGTGCTTGGAACCGTTGACACTTTGTACACAACATTTTGCATCAATTCACTTTTTACCCACAGATCTTATTATTAAAAGCCAACTATTTTGTAAGTCAATGGCTACAATCTGTCAGCACGCTTGGTCGGTGCCATTACTTAAGAACTGAACTCTTGTGACATTCGAGCAATGGTTTCTTACAATCATATGATCATGCTAAGTGTTCCCTTCCCAGAAACAGAAGACAAACTGGAATGTCAAATTTCTGGCCTTAAGGGGGATCGCAGTCGTTTAAGAAATTTAGTACTGACCAGTCACTTACAAGAGAATTTTTGAAATAGCTAGTATTTGTCTGAGACACAAAACAATTGTTTAAAAATTGGTCTCTTATGGGAGATAGATGCTTACGAGAAGTGCATGGACACTATGAGAGAGTTGACTACAATGTTGGTATGTCGGGATTTCTTAACTGAGGAGACACCCCATGGTTCTTTTCTTGTAAGTGACCGCCTCCCATGAGCAACCACCATTATGTAATTCCTTTAATTTTTTGTGGCCATTTACAGCCGGTTAAAATGCCTCTCAGGTTATTAACTACTACAGTAGCTAGTGTACAGCTTGCCATTTGGGCAAGCTGTAAAACTGACTTCTTTGTATGCACCCCACCTCCCCCCCCCCAAAAAAAAAATTTCATGGAGCCATAAAAATAATATGACCTGTTTTCTAAAGACAAATAATATTACTTAATACCAATAAACAACGATGTGCTTTCTCACCTTTTACTTTGAGTTTGTCATCACCACATCCTAAATCATACTCTAGATCAAAGTCCATGAAAGCAATTTTAATTCTATTGTTGTCTCCAACGTCAATTTTCCAATAACAGTCTTTGGAAGGTGGATAAACTTGGGGCCAATTTTGGGAATTTATGATTCCATAATTCCCATACAATGTCTTGGGATAATACTCTGAATAGCAGTAGCCTGTAAAATAATAATTCATAAAATGATAAATCAATCAATAAAAATTAATAGACATTTCAGAAGTGACCATATAAACAGAGAATCAGTAACTCCTAATAAACATATGTGATCATTCAAATGGATTGTCCACAAATTTTAACAACTCCTAAAATAAGAAAAACAAAATCATTTGACTGAAGATAAGAAACAATTTTGTTCACTGGACAGGCATGAAAAAACCTCTAGACCATGAGAGTGGACTCCAAATTAGTCAAAAGCAACCTTGAAAAGTGTTCTTAAACATCAGTGACATATACTTCACCAAGAACCAGCACTTACGTGTAGCCACAATTTTTAACAAACACATCTACTTCCTTTACTTCTTTGGTCATTATGAAACGCATTTTCATTTGGACATTACTGCAATCACAATATCGCCTGGTCTATTGTCTATCTTTTCCTCATCTGACAAAACCCCTGAATCCTACATGTAGCTATAACATCTACTACATGTACCAATAACTTTCAGGGGATAAATCATGATACTTACTATAGAGTCCAGAAGCTGCAAGGTAAAAATAAGGACATAATTTATATTGTTATTATTGATTCAAAATATTTCACCATTTCTTAATTTACATTAATCTTTACAATAAACCCTTTCATCCTCACTCATATAAAAAATGAGGAATGAGAAAAAAAGTCAGCACATGTACATGTTAGTATGTGTAATCAAATGGTGACGAGTGAAATTAGGAAATAATTTCACGCGCATTTTGTCCAAATCCTTATACGCAAGTGAAATTATTCCTTAATTTCACGAGTATACCATTTGATTACCTATTAATATCATGGGTGACGAATTACGTTAGCAATCTTGGATTTTTGACATGTTTATCCTGGATCGTATCGATCGAGAACTCCACTCTCTCAAATGTTTAGATCTTAAATTTGGCTTATAAAGTTCAGAATTTTTCAGACTGTTTCGGCAAAATACCCGTTAGAATCCTTCTTGATGTTCTCTTGTGTGTTCAGGTTTTCTAACGCGTATTTTTGTGCCCTGAGATCTTCATTCACGGCATTTTAAAACTTGGTCGCCATCTTGACACTGAGACGTATGGAAGGTTGCCATAGCAATTTTGTAATTTCACATGTGAAATTACAAATTAACGCTGAAATTTCACTTGTCGGATATATTAATTGTCTGGAGAAAATTCATAACTTTATACCACTACATGAGAATGCAATTTGATTGGCTTAGAGCAATGGTATTTCAGCATAATTTGAAATACCCACATGTGAAAATAACAAACCTTTTGCGGGTAGTAGTATAAACAAATAATAGCATGATTTGTACTTGATATTTGGCATAAATACCACTCGTGATATTTCAAAATTGTTTCAAATTTCACTCGCCTAACGGCGAATTACGTATAACAATTTAGAAATATCACTGTCTTGTGGTATTTATGCCAAATATCACTACTAATCATGCCATTACCTATACATATTACAAGCAAATAAAGTGAAATTTTGATGGCTCCAGGCTGCCTTTGCACTCACGGAAAAGATTAAAGGCAACTGTTTCTGGGTAAAAAAAATGGCAGGCACGAGGAAAAAGGAAGAAAAACAACAATTTTGAACAGGAGCAGAAACAAATGCATACTACTGTACACAGATGATCTTTATATCACTGACAGCAGCAATTACTCATGGATACAACAAAGCTGTAACTTTCACCTAAGTGACTCTTTAGGTGATGAGCTCCATTCAGTGTGGTTATTGTTTTACAGTCTTATCGCATTATTATTATTATTATTATTATTATTATTATTATTATTATTATTATTATTATTATGACAATCGTTGCTACTTTAAGACAAAGTTTACCATCCTTCAATTTATATATGGTACTCTGTCTGACCGTTAGTTAGTTAGTTAGTTAGTTAGTTTATAGTTATAGAACAGGCATTTACCCGAATATATGGAGAATGTAGAATATGAGGCATGGAATCCCCTTCCACTTTTCACAGCTCCAATTTAAATTTTATCCAACCATCCATAATTTTTTTATTTCCCACTTAAAACTGAAATCTGTTTTTAGAACTTTTACTCCAAGGATCGCTTAGCACGTGAAACTCCGAGTTACCACTTATTTTCATCCTTTGCATTTTTTGTACGGTCATGAATGATATATTATTATTCAGTAATTCCGTACTGTCCGACAGAATACCATCTAGTATGATGTCGAGTTTCCCATTTTATCCCAATTCCACCATTACATGTAGTTATGGAGTAGATCTATACATGTACATACCCGAAGAAAACTTCGAGATTGTAGAATATGAGGCTACGAATCCTTTTCCACTTCCAGAGCTGTCACTTCTAAACTTAATACGCAAGCAGTTATCTGGTGAGTAGATATTATGGGGCTTGTAGCTGTTGTCAGAGCAATATTTTCCGATGGACTTTCGGCTGCATCCAATGTAAATCTCCACATAATCATCATAGCAGTTGGGCATATCACCCTTGACATCAAATGTGGTCCATGTCAGCTTGAGCGCATACCCAGAACTAACTCGAATGTCGAATTGGCAATTCTGGTTATTGGCATAACTTGACCTACTGTAATAGTCTGGTGATGTTATTATTGCTCCAAGTGAACTAGAAAATGTCTTGTCACAAAAAGCTAAAACCAAAAAAGTAAGATAAAATGATTAGCAAAGTTTATTCAGAACTGATCTGATATTAAACAAAGTCAATATGGTGAAACTTTGCGCAATACAGTGACCTCATTTTAATCACATAATTAATTTTGAGGAATCACACTTTTACAATCTGTTACAAAATTGACAATATTATTGTCGATCAATAGGCCCTTTGGAGCTAGTCATTCACGTGATACAAAACCAGCATGTTGGAGAGCAAGTGATGCACTGGGACAGGACAACAAATAAAGGAAATTAAGAACGATTTTACTACCAAAACAGGTAGACTGTTTTTTCGGAGACGCACATGACAGTTGTCGCTGGAGAGAAACATATTTGATTTAAGCCTATGTGATCTATACCTGATGCCTCAAATGTAAGCTCACGTGACCACTATTCTTTACATTACTGAAAATCAAATGACGATGGCAAGCTTTTTCATAAACAAACAAGGAAGGTCTTAAACAACTATGGTAAGAGCATACAGACAATAGCCTACTTCTTTAGTAAGATATGTGAATTGATAACAGCTGACAGTGGGGATCCAGCGTCAGGTTATTTTGAAGAGCAGTTCAAGGAAGTTGAGTCAGGGGCCAGTTCATTTTTAAAAAAAATGAATAAACGACAAAAGACAGCCAAAGCGTGGGCAAAGAAATGCGAAGGAATGTGCATGATCACGTGTGTTTGCCTTTTGAGCTGCCATCTTTAAGTCACATAACCAACAACGATCATCTTTGTTGCTAGTGGCAACTGTTACGCACATCTCCAGGAAAATAGTCTACCTGTTCTGGTAGTAATTTCAGCGGACAAAAACCTTGCACCAGAATAATTTCAAGCATATTGCAGTCTTTTTTACACTTTTTGTGGGCTATAAAATGTAATAAGTTATATGAAATGCCTCCAAAGAAAAGGTTCTTATGGGAGCCCGAGAAAACAAACTTCAAAAACTTCAAACTTCACCAAATGAAATCTTACACATGACGATTATACCTGCGTTTTCTCAATTCCCATGAAATTTGAAATTTATTTTCTTGGGCTTGCATAAGAAACTGTCTTGGTGTTATTACAGATAACTAATTACATCTACAGGTATAGCACTTGAAAAGTGTAAAAAGGAATGCAATATATTCTGGTACAAGGATTTGTCCATGAAAATTTAAATTACTAAGTTTCCTGATGGATTCCATCTTTTAATCTTTTTAATTTTCAATACAGTTGCACCTTATTAAGCAGCCACCCTTAGACGGGTAATGGTAAACAGCCCTGTAATGGAAGTTGGCCCCTCAACAGAGGTTTATCACATTAATTACATGTAGCATAATCTGTAACTAGAGATAGTTCATTACCTCATCAAAACAAACATGTTGAGAAAGGCATTACTGGTCAGTCATCACCTTTTACCTTTCACTGCTTTTTTTTCCATCATATTTTTCAAATAAAGCTATACTAAGTCTATCAAACTGCTTGATGGCAGCTGCTTACTGGTATTTTAGTAGAGGTGACAAAATAGGAGACCTCTCATCGGGACAGCCAAAGGGTTGCTGCGGGTGCTTGATAGAGGTTTCATTTACTTTTGTTGCTTACAACTTATTATTTCAGAACTTTGGTTACTGGTCGCTTAATTAATAGAGGGTGGCTGCTTTGTGGAGGGTTAACAGAAATGTCAGCCTTTTTTTCTCTTGTTCCAGTGCACCTGCAGTACTGCAGTTTTGGTCCAATAATATTGTAAACAGCAAGCTGCAAAGTGCCTATTTCTTTTGTCTCCTAGACCTTATTCATGAATAACTGACCTGTCACATGTAAAGCAACTTGAGTATGCATGGAACTTCCATTTAGTTGTCACTCAGAAAGAAAATTTACATATCACATGCAACAAATTTCAGCCTGCTTTTATGCCCCAGCCAGGATGAATACGATAGGCTAGGTGAGTGAGTGATGCAAAAAATTTATCGTTGAGAAAGTGGAAGAGTATGGCCTGTTCCGGGTAGAGAGCCCCCTGTGTGGTCAGACTCTTGTAAACGATGATAACAAGGCAAACCTTTTGCCTTTTGGTTTGTCGCTCATGGGAGGTTTGAGTGTTTACACAAACAAAGCAAGAACAGAGGAAGGGAAAAACTTTAATTTGTAACAACTTCAGAGGCTCTGCATGATGTTTATAATGTTATTTTGAACAGGCAGATTATGTAATTCCATTTTGTTAAGGACTCCACTTTTCAAGCCACTGCCACTCAGCAGTGAGATTTTGTGCAGGTTTTAACTCCTGACAAAATTAATTAATGTGACATTGTCACCCAGCATTACACCTGAACATATCATATCAGAAATTCTACAACTGGAACATCTTCTATGAAGATGCACTTAATATATAGCTGTATTAGTAGTATGTTATTCATGAGACAATTATTCCTTCAATTACCAGTTCTAAGTTCCTCACCTCCAAGAACAATTTCTAATAAACTTAATCCTGAAAATAAATGAAAATATAATTTAGAATGATTTTGTGATATTCAAGTTGATAAATGACAGGGTTTGCAAATTTTATTGATGAGTGGAGTCAGTGTGACTTCTGCTTCACAAATTTTGGAGTCATTTTGGAATATTTGGAGTCAAGTATCACAACGAAAAGAACCATTTTCAGACTTTCCAGCACATGGTCCTGGCATGTATACACTATCGTGAGGGATACACGAAGTAGCTGTGGCAGTCTGCTGATCTGGAAAGCTCAAATCCATGATGGCGGTCATCGAATAAACTTTGATCGTAATTTACCCTCTTCCTGTTTTGTCGTGCAGTATAATTCTTTCATTTCAATGATTTAATTAAGGTTTACAATGTTTACAATTAATGTAAATTGTATTTGTTGTGAAAAAGGTAAGGACAAAACTGTTTGTTACCGAAATTTCTGGAGTCAAAGTGACTCCCTCCGTAACCTCGGTGGAGTCATCTAAACAATTTTGGCGTAAACTACGCCAAATTTGGCGTATTTGCAAACCCTGAATGACTATAAATCTAATAACTCGGTACTGAATCAGATATAGGTGTATGTTGCAGTTAATTTTTTACTTTAGTTTCCTTTGTTTCAAATTCATTAGCTTACATTACCATACCCAAAAACAATTAACTACAACATTATACATGTAACGCTGAACTGACACTGTTACGTTATTTACATTGTAATGCACACAAAAAATTAATTAATGTTTAACACTGTTTTAATTTGTTGACCAACTAATGATACTGAGAAAAAAAAGCTATTGTTTTAAGGGAGAGCTTCTGGTTGGGATGTTCTTTAATATTCCAATACTATCAAAATCAATAGTGTAAATCTACCATTAGCAGAAATTTTAAATGTCAGCTGCCAATACAGTCAAACAATAATTTATTCCATCAGTGCGCGTTGGATATGAAGTGGTAAAAAACCAATGAGGGGCGTAGCACTGAGTTGGCTATAACTATCTCATATCCAACAAGCGTGAAGTAATAATAATATATTGCTTTACTAGGTATACTTATTGACAGAGGGCCTACGAGTATATCATGTGTATTTTGCATAGGAACAGAATTTCTTTTTTCCAACATTTAAAGTTTCTAATGGTCCCTTCCTGCTGCAAGGATTATTTTCTTGAAAAGGTTTATACATGTATCAAGGTTCTGTAGAAGAGTCAGTTCTCATACTCCTGTGGCTTTATGAACCTGCTATAATAGAGAAGTTTGTCATCAGGGATCTTTTTCAAAAGAATAAATCAGCTTTGCAGATGAAGCAATCAGTAATACTTAGGGGGGAATATAAAGAATGATTGTTTCTCTTACCAGTCCACCTACAAAATTACTGTTGGTTCAGTTTCGCTTTGTTGATAAATATTTGTCCAGTTTAATCATTTAACCCTCGTTTGAAATTTCCCAAGACTTTTTGTTACCCAACTGAAACTTAGAATGATTTGCTGTGCTGTTTGAAATTTGTTTTCAAGGACATACAATGGTACTGTTTTCTTTTCCTTTGTTATTCGCTTTAGGTTTGTAAGATTTTTCCTCTTTATTCTTATTTTTTCGTTTGCTGGTTACGTTTCCACCAACATCAGATTTTCCAACAATAAGCTAAAATGTTCTTCATATATCTGCACATGGGTTGAACTCCACATAACTCACCACAGGCACTCCAAGCTCACAAGTGAGAATCATTGTTGCATAACAGAAATAATATAAGGCTTTGTATGGGGATTTTTGCGATTGTTATTTTGAGCATAAAAATAGCTTATAAATAAACAAAATAACATTTTTCCCTGTCTCCTTGTTTTATTCACAGTGTGTTCTTAGCATATTTGGCCGTTTCAGTGCGATTCCACTGAGTTTTAGTTCTGTTGTTGTTCTCTCTAAATAGAATTCCCCAAGGTTGCTTACTTGCCATCAAAGGTCTAGCATATTAACTAAAGGAAATCTGCCATGTAAATTCACTCTCCAGAATTAGCCCAGTACACATTAGAATCCTCCTCTAACTACTTCTTTTCTTCTGTTATGCAACAACTATTCTCACTCGTGAGCTTGGGGTACCTGTGAACTTATGTACATGAAATGTATCAAATATCCTCTGTATTTGTTCACGACTATTAAAAAAAGCGATGATGTTGTTCACAACAAAAAAATTTTAACATGGAAGTTTACCTAACAATTTATATCAATTAATGACAAATGCACCTGTTAGAAGTCGCAGAGGCATCAGCGTTTGCTTGTACATTTGTATGTTCATGCTTTATCTGTAATGGAAAAATGAAATTTACACGATGTAAGCATAATTATTTTCACTTTACTTGGTTTCCTTTGTTCTTTTTATGGGAATATATGACATAACCCCTAATTATTACTCACTGTCTGAAAAGCTGGTGGCAGCTATGATTGCAACAGGGGATTGTGGGGCTGAAACAATGATTAAAAACAATCACGAAGTAATGCAATATATATTTCCCCTGTTCATACATTCCTCTCATCATATTACCCTGCTCTGAATCTTCCCAACATATTTAACCTACCCAGTGAAACAGTCAAAACAAGTCAGAATTTTGAGTTACGGTTCTGATGGACTTGCTGCATTTTCTTGGACCTCATTTGCTTTGTTAGCATTTGTCAAATGTACTTCAAGCGAGGAATTTGTGTCACACACCTCGTTACCTTACTTTTAAACAAATTTGACTCAACACCTTCAATGTCAAACTGCAAGTTACATCAGTGACTGTCTTAGTTTTCAATGTGACTTGTCATCAGACGACTGACACAAAAAATCTGTCAGGGTGGATGCCCCAAAAGAACCTCCAAAACCGCTCTGCCTTAACGTTAAGAATACTTCTTCCTCTGAGTCACTCATCTCTTTCTTATAAAACTACTGCATGGTGGACTATTCCACATAAATCGACTGCCTTTCCCCACTTCCCATTTTTATTGTCTACCATACACTTTCATATTTTTTGATTAATAGCTATTTTTATTGGGATACCCAGTGGGAGCCTCCGCACACAGAGGAGAAAGATCTTCCATTGTCATGTTTCATAAGTAAGGGTTAATTACCTTGAACAAGAGGGCACAGGGCAGGGCACCAGGTGAATATATCACATACTCCCAAGGGACAGGTAAAAGACATGCTTATTTTTCAGTTGAGTGGTTGCCTAATCAGGGGAACCCAACATCAATTTTCGGAAAATGTCTGGTCGGAAGATGATTTAAGATCTACAATTTTCGGAACATTTGTTGTAAACTTTCTTGCTTGCCTGCCTCTCCTAGGATTTTCGCACATCTTAAAAATGGTATAATAGAGTACTAAAGTGATGACGTCATAGAAATGAAATTTCTGAAATTATGGGATTTGTCAGGATATTCTGAAAGAACAATGTCCAAGAGGCCAACTTGCCAAAAATGAGCATTTGGGGGCAAATTGTCTCTGAGATCGTAGCCCAGTTATACTCATAAAACTCCATACAAACCCTTCTAATTTTTTTTGGGTCAACCCACAAAAAATTTAGAAGGGTTTGTATGGAGTTTTGTAAGCATAACTGGGCTACGATCTCAGAGACAATTTTCCCCCAAATGCTCAGTTTTGGACATTGTTCTTTCAGAATATCCTGACAAATCCCATAATTTCAGGAATTTCATTTTTATGACGTCACACTTTAGTACTCTATTGCCCATTTTTAACAGATTTTTATCCTAGAAAAGTCACCTAGAATTTTTGGGAGCCTTTTTTCTGGCTGAAATTTTCGAAAAGTTAATTCGATCCCTATAATTTTTGGATCACTACACTTTCAGCTAGAAAATCCAAACAGACGAAAAATTTTTAGGGGATAAAAATATGCCTATATCTACCGTTTAAATAGTAAAATATGTTCAACAACGCTATCTACATGTATGCTTAAGTGGTTTTAAACTATATTCTCGTTGGGTGCACCCGCCTAATGCAAAATGCATTTAAAGGCTAATTGTCTGGAGATGCTTTATCCCAAGAGCCTCAAATTGTTTGAGGCTGAATTCTAAAATATGGAAATTGGCCAATTCATGCGGAATAGTCAAACAGTAGCTAAGAGTGTTCACCATGAATTTGAAGAGTAAAATTGTATTCTAAAGTCATCGCCAGCTGTCAGTTAATTAAAATGCAAGAACACAAAGGAAGATTATAAACAACTAAAATATTAGGAGACAAACAAATCGGTGCTAGAACTTTCTTTATTTAATCGTAAAAACGAGATATGTCATCGGCTGTCGTACTTAAGTTACATAAATCCTCCGACAGGGATTTTTTGCAGACCGCCAAACGCAAAATCATGAAATGCAGAGCGCCGAATGACACTGAAGTTTAGTACCGTGCTAGCAGAGTCGCTTCGATCTTTCCTAGATGAGTGAAGATCGAAGGAGACTCTGTTCGCAGGGTAGTAACTAAGGGATTACGGTTACAAAATTGAGTGAATCAAGTTTCAGGTCAGTTTTCCCAGTAATGATTCTAAATGCGCCTGTAAATGGAACCTGACATACTTAGTTTCCTACAAACACTAAATCAGAGGCATTCGGAGTCATTCGGCGTTCTGTGAAATACCTCTGCCATATACTACATGCGTTTACCATACCTTCGTTGTTCTCTTCGCTTTCTTTGGTGTAAGATTTTAACGAACCATCCCAAACCAATGCTAACCAGTGAGTGTGACGGAAACTGATTTAGGTAAGCGCACAAGAGCCAAGACCACAGATAACAATGACCTCACCAGTTGTCTCGTCCAGCGGTTTCAGTGAAAACAAAACAAAAACAAAAGGACCCGGGAAAGGTGGTTAACCTGATCTCAGGTAGCCTGAAATTCATCCGATTGCTTCGAGTCGTTTTCTCCTGGGGAGTAATAACGACTCGAAGTAATCGGATGAAATTCAGGCTAGATCTCAGGCCCAATTTTAGCGGTTCTAACGGCTATCTTTTCGTTTCGCCTTGCCCGCCGGAATGTAATTTTCGAAGCGAAACGAAAGTAGAGCCTGATCTCAGGTCAGGAGGTGGTGAACTTGGGAGTTTGGTTGTCCGGATGATCTTGGCCATCGTGACGTCACGAACAGAGAACCGCGCAACTTCGAGACTGCAAGATATTCTATTATTCTACACGATATCGCATGCACGAGAGCTTGAGGAACTCATAAAAATTAAAGTAATATTTATCCTGCGACCAGACAAGACTACTTTTATTTGGAGTCTGGTAGCTAGTACATAAACGTTGAAATTATTTTAAAATTACAACATACAGTTATATCATTATCAATAATAATATTTTATTATAATATTTTATTTTCATATATATTTTAAACCCGCCACCCGTCACCCGCTACCCGCCACCCGCCACCCGCCACCCGCGGAAAAAGTCCTGCCGGAAATCATGCCTGTGAAAACAGTCACCTCTCCTTGCTCCGCACCGCAAGTGACGTTTCGTCAGGCTACACGCGGTGTGTCAAATGAAAACGGACTATGTCAAGCAAGACACAGGGCACTTGTCGATCTTGTTTGTCTAGTTTGCTTTTTCTTCCACATCAAGACGAAAGATGATTGCACTTCCCCAACTTTTTAGCCGTGTTTATAACAGACTGCAAGAGAGTCTATTATTCTACACGATATCGCATGCACGAGATAGCTTGAGGAACTCATAAAAATTAAAGTAATATTTATCCTGCGACCAGACAAGTAAGATCGCATTCTCTTCTCGACATGTTTGAACAGTGTCTCAGATTTTTGACAAGTGCGTTTTTTCTTTTATTATAAGTTGGGATAAACATTGCATTGCCCTTGGGATAAATCTTTGTCAATTTGGTTCCCGACTTGTAGTTTAAAATGAACAAACTGTCTATTTCGAGAAAACAAGGAAATTTTCCTAAGACTAAAGCAACAAAGCTGTCAATGTTAATGCGTACCAGAGAAGGAGCAAGAACGTTTTGGACACAGCATGGACCGTTTTCGCCGCATGTGGCGTCTCAGACGCGAATTGATCTCCTTGTATATATATACAAAAAGGATCTGCATTTTTTAAATACTACTCAAAAATACCGATTAGGATGGCAATCATGCCGCATACTAGGGCAAAAACTGAGCTACGACACGGGAGGCCGAATCTCTTGCAGTCTGTTATAAACACGGCTAAACAGTTGGTGAAGTGCAATCATCTTTCACAGGCATGATTTCTCGTTTTTTTTTTCCATTTTTAGTCCGCGTATTAAAGTAGATAAAACAAAACAAGACAATACTTTTATTTGGAGTCTGGTAACTAGTACGTAAACGTTGAAATAATTTCAAAATTACAACATACAGTTATATCATTATCAATAATAATATTTTGTTATAATATTTTATTTTCATATATATTTTTAACCCGCCACCCGCCACCCGCCACCCGCCACCCGTCACCCGTCACCCGCTACCCCTCACCCTCCACCCGCTACCCGTCACCCGCCACCCGTCACCCGTCACCCGCCACCCGCGGAAAAGTCCTGCCGCATGATTTCTCGTTTTTTTTTTTTTTCCATTTTTAGTCCGCGTAAGTAGATAAAACCAAACAAGACAATACTTTTATTTGGAGTCTGGTAGCTAGTACATAAACGTTGAAATTATTTTAAAATTACAACATACAGTTATATCATTATCAATAATAACATTTTATTATAATATTTTATTTTCATATATATTTTTAACCCGCCACCCGCCACCCGCTACCCCTCACCCGCCACCCGCTACCTGTCACCCGCCACCCGCCACCCGTCACCCGCCACCCGCCACCCGCCACCCGCGGAAAAGTCCTGCCGGATCTCCCAGCAGGTAGAAATCGTTGTTTTCCGAGTCAATTTTATCCGCCAGGATTTCAAATCGACTAAAAATGTCCTGGGAGGAACTTGGAGGTCGGTACCACGTACTTACTAAAAAGGGTCTAGAATGCGGTCTAGTAATTTCGATAACAAGGCATTCGAGTTGGTTATCACTTAAGTCATGCCGTATATGATAATTTATGTTATTTCGTAAATATATACAAACACCGCCACCGCATCTCCCATTCACCGGACGATCCCTTCTAACGACTTCGAATCCTGGTAGAGATATTTCGGAGTCACCAATGGAACTGTCTAGCTTTGTCTCATTGATTGCTAGTATATCAATTTTGGAATCAGTCACAAATATCCTAAGGTCGTCAATATGAGCGAGTAAACTGTTTATGTTAAGCGATGCCATGACAAAACCACGACCGAATGAATTTAAAAATTTTGATGGCTTACCCTTACTAAAAGTGTACTTGCAGGACTCCCTGGAAAGCATGTCCTCGTCGGACTCCCGCTCGACAGTATTCTAATCTCCTCTTAATTTTAAAAATTTAATAAAGTTAGAAGCCAATCGAGCAGTTCCTTTTGCATTCAAGTGGAGACCGCTTCTATTTAAGTCGTGGTCGGCGGAGATGTTGGAATGGTCAACATAGCCCCAGTCATTTTGATTACAGAATTTCCTTAGTATCTTGTTTACACCAGAGACTTTGACACCAAGGGCCTCCTCGTCTGCTCTAGACACAAGGCTAGAAATCGACAATTTAGCCGAAGATTCGTCGCATATCATGTGGGCTAAATTAACGATCTCCTCAGCACATTCGCGCGCGGATGTGGATGAGCGAAGACTATTGGTACCAACGTGAAGTACAATTTCGTCTGGGTTTTTCCGTAAAATAGGTCTAATGTGATCTCTCATGTCCTGAGTCGAACATCCCGGAAAAGAGGAAATCTTGACCTTAGCACTACTTGACATTTTCCTCCCTTGCAAGTTCTTTAGGATGGAATCACCAACCAAGAACACCTCTCTTTGCTTGCGTTGAGTACTTCGGCCACCACCTGAGTTGCCTTTTGTTCGCTCTGTATTTAATTGGCATGATGACGACGTCTTCGATTGCGAATGTCTCCCGTCTTGGTTTGACTCTGTCGAAGGCTGGTTTTGTTGGTCACCGGTCTTCTTCTTTTTTCTCACCAAAACAAAAATCTTGAGTATCCTGGTACTCCGTGTCAACGCGGGAGTTATCAGGTTGCATGGCAAATGAATTGTGATACAAATCTTTGGAGACTATTTGAAGCGCTAGTTTCAATGAATCTCTTTCTTCCCGAATAGCTTTTAATTCTTTCTGTAGCTCGGTGTAGTGAACTCTAGCGGCTTGTAATTCTTGTTGTAAGGTGTGGTTCTCGTTCTTGACAGCATCAAGTTCTTGCAAAGTCTTCGAGTTATTTGCATATTGCGTCGCCGGATTGCACACAGCTCCAAAGTTTGGTTACCTCAGTCCTTAGGTCGTTAATTAGACTCAGAATATTTACGTCAAGAGAGTGAGGGGAATAGGTTTAATAAAGTGGTCCGTTTCGTTGCTGGATGTCTGTGTCCACTTGTGATTTGTAGTCGTCCACAACAACATGGCGGTCGCTAACAACATCTTCCGTTTCATCGTTCAGGTCACAATTGGTTTTACCACCGTCCATAGCTGCTCGAAGTTTATCCTTTGCTGATTGAACGTTGTTTCCTTGAAGTTGTAACGTCCCAGTCTTGTAATAATTCACTGTCAAGGATTTTGCTTTTATCGATTTTCTTTGCTCGTTTTGAGTTATCGAGCACGTGGTGGAATCTATATCTAAAAGTTCGAAGCAAAAGATTTTCTACTCATCGAAGGAACCTCGCCACGTAAATGTGGACTTCTTTGAATTGTAGCTTAGTTTCTTTATCAGCGAGTCTGTAGTGGCTGGGTTGGGTTCAGAGCTGTTGTTCATAGCTGTTGAATCCAATGCTGCGACTCACTCCAACTGACAAGGGGCTATGACAATAAGCAGACAAAAAAAATGATTTTATTACGTAGATTTGCCTGCAACACTGATTTCGAGCCAAAATCAGTAATAGTAGGTGTAGTACGTTTAGTACCTGTAGTATCTGTAGTACCTGTAGTAGATGTAGTATCTGTAGTAGCTGTAGTAGGTGTAGTACCTGTAGTAGGTGTAATACCCGTAGTATCTGTAGTAGGTATAGTATATGTAGTAGGTGTAGTATCTGTAGTAGCTGTGTAGTATCTGTAGTATTTGTAGTATCTGTAGTGTCTGTAGTAGGTGTAGTACGTGCAGTACCTGTAGTAGGTGTAGCATCTGTAGTATCTGTAGTAGGTGTAGTACCTGTAGTATCTGTAGTATCTGTAGTACCTGTAGCAGGTGTAGTACCTGTAGTAGATGTAGGATCTGTAGTACCGGTAGTATCTGTAGTAGGTGTAGTACCTGTAGTATCTGTAACAGTTGTAGTAGCTGTAGTATCTGTAGTAGGTGTAGTAGCTGTAGTATCTGTAGTAGCTGTAGTAGGTGTAGTGCCTGTAGTAGGTGTAGTAGCTGTAGCACCTGTAGTACCTGTAGTACCTGTAGTACCTGTAGTAGCTGTAGTGTCTGTAGTAGGTGTAGTAGCTGTAGTACCTGTAGTACGTGTAGTACCTGTAGTACCTGTAGTAGCTGTAGTGTCTGTAGTAGGTGTAGTACCTGTAGTATCTGTAGTATCTGTAGTACCTGTAGCAGGTGTAGTACCTGTAGTAATAGTAATAGTAATAGTAATAAATTGCTTTATTTGCATGACCGCATCATTTTACAGTATTGCAAAAGCATGTATATGACAATCAAAATATAAAACAAAACAGCGCTAATAATAATCTAGAAAAATTCGGTTACATTACTAACAATGAATCACGTATTTTCATGCAGGAGGAAACAAACTTCATAACTAACTTATTTACATGATGTTCCTTCGAATTCATTATCAGTTTTATGCTTTCTGGAGATGATTTCTTGTCAAAGTCAGGTATTATTCGATTGATTTGATTAATAAATGCCTGTCTCTGTACTGAGTATTTGTTACATTGAAAGAGGAAATGAATCTCATCTTCTACCTGATTTGAGTTACATAAAGGACATAATCTATTTTCTCTTGGCAAATGATCGATTTGGTATCGACCATGTTCAATCATAAGTTTGTGATTACTTATTTTAAATTTAACAAAATTCTGTCGTTCGTCATAATGTCTTAGCTGGTAGAGATAATCAGATGTAGAATATTCATCTTTAAAAGTTTTATAAAATTCTAGTTTTTTTGAATTTTCGAGGCTGTGCCAAAAAAGATAGATATTTCTCTCTCATTTCTGTGGTATATCGTCTAATTTTATCATTATCTAGAGATTCAGCATCTAAACTGGTTAGATTGTATTGTTCAAGCATGTTTATGAAATTGGAAAAATATCCGGAATTATTCATAGAATGTAGATTCTTTGACATAAGGAAAGACTGTTTGACTATAGAGTCATTATCTTTGTTGTTGAGGTAAACAAAATATTTCATAATTTTCTGATTTATCGGGATAAGCAGCGGCAGTCTATCAAGTTCAGCTCTGCAGGCTATGTTAGAGGCCTTATTGTTAACCTCTAAGTAACGTTTACAGAATTTGAGGTGGATTTTTTCTATTGGGGAGCTATCCCATTTTTTAAAATCTTGCTTGGTGTACATTCCCCATACCTCGCTGTTGTAACTCAAGATTGGGAATACCATGGTGTCAAAAATTTGGGATGCAGTATTAGGATTAAGTTTGTTAAGAATTGTCCGCTTCCGAATACTAGAAAACGCGTGAAGGGCCTTTTCTTTTAAGTGTTCGAGTGCAAGTGTAAAGTTTCCCGTTGCAGTTAAACGTGTACCTAAATAAGTGTATTCTTGGACAATTTCAATTGACTCACTGCCTATGTTGAATTTGATGTCAATAGATTTTTTTGGGCGTTTCTGGAATATCATAATTTTTGTTTTCTGCGGATTAATTTTTAGCTTCCATTTGTCACAATACAAAGAAAGCGCATTTAAACAGTTCTGTAATCCAGTTTTCGATCTTGATAGAATAACTAAATCATCTGCGTAGAAAAGTGAATTTATTTTTCTCCCATTTGGGAGAACAAATGGGTCAGATAAGGTGTTTTCGAATAAAAGTGGTAGATTGTTTAAATAGAGGTTAAATAAAAGAGGACTTAAAATACAGCCTTGACGTACACCTCTGGAATATGAAAAAGGCTGTGTTTTGTTTTCACCGATTTTGATGGAACATGTCGAGTTGCAATAAAGACTTTTCATGAGGTTGTACAAGTTTCCTCCTATATTCGTTTTTAGCAGCTTATAAAACAATCCTTCGTGCCAAACAGAGTCAAACGCTTTGCGGAAATCTACGAAACAAGCGTAGACTTTTTCCTTGTGATAATGCACATATTTATCTATTAGGGTCCTTAGAGTGAAAACATGGTCTGCAGTGCGGTTTTCAGGCAAAAAGCCAATTTGGGAATTATGTAATATCTTATTTTCCTCAAAATACAAGTGAAGTCTTCGATTTAAAATAGAACAGAACAATTTTCCAAGGCAACTAGAAACACATATGCCTCTGTAATTTGTTGGATCACTCTTGTCACCAGATTTGTAAATTGGGGTTATGAGGCCTTGACACCAAACATCTGGCATTTTTCCGGATTGTAAAATGAGGTTAAAAAGTTTGACATAGACAGGCATTAGTGGTTCGAGGCTTGCTTTGATCATTTCATTTCGTATTTTGTCAACAAATGGTGATTTCTTATTTTTCAATTTCTTCTCCGCTTGACGTATTTCCCTCTCAGTTATCTCATAATCGAGATGGTTAAACTGTTCCTTTTCGTGTTCTAAAGAATTTAGTTCCCTATGGATTTCATGTTCATGCGTGGAATTCGTCGGGTCAATAGAATGCAGAGATTTGAAATGGTGAAGCCATGATTCTTCCGAGATTGGGGCAGGAACATTTTCGTTGAAAGTGTCGCTCATCGAATTTAAACAATTCCAAAATGACGCCTTGTCAGGATTTAAAGCTAGTTCGTCGAGTTGTAATGTTTTTTCTTTATGGAATCCTCTCTTCTTTGTGTCTAGGAGCTTTTTGTAATCATTCAAGGTTTTGTGATATCTTTCTCGCACTTCGAAGTTGAGGGGGTCACGGTGCTTTTCATTTGAGACTTTTCGTAATTCATGCCTTTTCAAACGACAGTCACAGTCAAACCATTTCTTGTTGGATGATTTCTTAATACGCTTATAAGTTTTCTTAGCTTTAATTTTTAGGCATAGCTTGGAGCTCTCAGTTAGAATTTTCATAGCGTTTTCTAAGGAGATATTCACATCTTCGGTGTTTCTCTCCATATATTGTCTAATTTGAATTTGGATTGGTTCCGTGCGCAGTGCGTTTTTGAATTTTAAATGTGAGTCAACTTCCCAGCAAAATTGCCGTGGTAATTTTGATAATCTATTGCTACTATTTAGAGTGTGCATTTCGTCTCCAATTAACCTGGTGTTAAGATTGAGCCATGCCACGATGGCACTATGATCCGATAAATAAGATGGCTGTTTAACAACAAAATTTGCAACGTTGAGAAATGTACACTGATCACATATTAGATAATCAATAACGCTCGTTCCGTTTTTTCCATGAAAAGTGGGTCTGCCTAGGGTATCTCCATTAACTCTGCCATTAACTATTCTTAGGTCAAAGGTTTTACAAATTTCCAACAGCCGTTTCCCATGGCTATTTAAAACATTATCAAAACTGTTTCTTTGAGTTGGCTGGAAAGCAGATTCCGACTGATCATTACTAATTCTACTGTTTCCCTCCTTTGAGACAGTATCAGAGTATTTCCCGTTCTCGAGTTAAAGTCACCCATGAGAATTATTGATCCTTTCGAAGAAAAAACGTATTATGTCTTGTTCTAGCTGATCAAAAATTTCGTTATCGAAGTATTTTGAGTTACAGGGGGGTATATAGACACCACAGACGTAAATATTCTTCACTGAATTTAGAAAACGATTCTCAATTTTAAACCAAATAAAATGCTGAGTTGTTTTAGTGATGGAAATGTTTTTATGGAATTTGTTCTTATAAAATAAAGCGATTCCTCCGGAGTTACGCCCACCTCTCCCCGACTGATTTGGTGTGGGACATTGAAAAAAAGATTTGTATCCCGCAATTTCCAGATTAGAGCAGTTGCCAATTTCTGTTAACAATATAAAATCGGAGTTATTAATAACACTCACAAAATCAGTATTATCTAACTTATTTCCAAGATATTTCGAAGAAAGGCCATTAATATTCCAAGCGCAAAAGGACAATGTGCTTGAAATATCGGAACTATCTTCGGTGTCCGTGATTGTATAGAAAATAATAAATGGATTACTTTTTATACTGGTATAAAGTTTATCATTAATACTTAATTCAGTGTAGTAGATGTAGTATCTGTAGTAGCTGTAGTAGGTGTAGTATTTGTAGTATCTGTAGTAGGTGTAATACCCGTAGTATCTGTAGTAGGTATAGTATATGTAGTAGGTGTAGTAGCTGTAGTAGCTGTGTAGTATCTGTAGTATCTGTAGTAGGTGTAGTAGCTGTAGTAGGTATAGTAGGTGTAGTAGCTGTAGTATCTGTAGTACGTGTAGTGTCTGTAGTAGCTGTAGTATGTGTAGTGTCTGTAGTAGGTGTAGTACCTGTAGCAGTTGTAGTACCTGTAGTATCTGTAGTAGCTGTAGTTGCTGTAGTAGGTGTAGTATTTGTAGTATCTGTAGTAGGTGTAGTACCTGTAGCAGGTGTAGTACCTGTAGTAGGTGTAGTATCTGTAGTTTGTAGGTGTAATACCCGTAGTATCTGTAGTAGGTGTAGTATATGTAGTAGGTGTAGTATCTGTAGTAGCTGTGTAGTATCTGTAGTACCTGTAGTATCTGTGGTAGGTGTAGTAGCTGTAGTATCTGTAGCAGTTGTAATAGTAATAGTAATAGTAATAAATTGCTTTATTTGCATGACCGCATCACTTTACAGTATTGCAAAAGCATGTATATGACAATCAAAATAAAAACAAAACAGCACTAATAACAATCTAGAAAAATCTGTAGTATCTGTAGTATCTGTAGTAGGTGTAGTAGCTGTAGTATCTGTAGTATGTGTAGTATCTGTAGTATCTGTAGTAGCTGTAGTAGGTGTAGTAGCTGTAGTAGCTGTAGTATCTGTAGTAGGTGTAGTACCTGTAGCAGGTGTAGTACCTGTAGTAGGTGTAGTATCTGTAGTTTGTAGGTGTAATACCCGTAGTATCTGTAGTAGGTGTAGTATATGTAGTAGGTGTAGTATCTGTAGTAGCTGTGTAGTATCTGTAGTACCTGTAGTATCTGTAGTAGGTGTAGTAGCTGTAGTATCTGTAGCAGTTGTAGTAGCTGTAGTATCTGTAGTAGGTGTAGTAGCTGTAGTATCTGTAGTATGTGTAGTATCTGTAGTATCTGTAGTAGCTGTAGTAGGTGTAGTAGCTGTAGTAGCTGTAGTATCTGTAGTAGCTGTAGTACCTGTAGCAGGTGTAGTACCTGTAGTAGCTGTAGTTGGTGTAGTACCTGTAGCAGGTGTAGTACCTGTAGTATCTGTAGTAGATGTAGTACCTGTAGTAGCTGTAGTAGATGTAGTACATGTAGTAGCTGTAGTTGCTGTAGTAGGTGTAGTATCTGTAGTACCTGTAGTAGGTGTAGTATCTGTAGTAGGTGTAGTATCTGTAGTAGGTGTAGCACCTATAGTATCTGTGGTATCTGTAGTAGCTGTAGCAGCCTTAGTAGGGGCGTCCAGTGGTGTAAGGAATTGTAAAGATTCCTTTCTACCTTCCAGCAAATTTTCCAAGCATTCATCTCGACTAGTCTCACTTTTAAGTGCCGCTGCACCGCAACATGAAGGAATCTAGACCCAGCAATACGAGGATTATTAGGAGTAAGCCAGTGAAACCGAGTCCATACTCAAAGGGATTAGTATAAACTACGGTCGATTTAATGGGCGAGAGAATATATAGACTATAAACGTAGGTATGTGAGTCCTGAATGGAACCTTCTACAAAGTACAAAAGACGATTTGCACAAGCTTATGAAAGGAACATCAAGGTTCACACACATTTGATATAGTGATATATACATTTGATCAAGTTAGTGATATATGTGATATATATATATATATGTATTTTTTTTTCTTCCTTTGCTGTTTTATTTTCTTTTGTTTTGTTTTGTTTTTTTTCTTTTTGTCATTTCGCTTTTTTT